CCATCCAGTCTATTTCAGAATGCCAGGAAATACTCTATATTATCTGCAACATACTGTAAAACACAAAAAGTGTTGATAAAACTAACAAAAAATACTTTGGTTTCGGGAAAAGTTTCGCAGAAACCTTCGGAACTAAAAGAATCTTTTTTATTGATTTTAGGTACAGAATCAGAATGAGCAGAATCAGAATGAGAATATAGAGTATTTCCTGACATTCTGAAATAGACTGGATGGGTTTTGACTGAGTTATCAATTTTTTAGTTTTTGATGAAAATAGTCAAAAATGGGTTACTTCACCTATTATAGGTTTTTACTCGATTGTTGCATTTTGTTCTGAAAACTAACATTGCCACAAGATTAAGCATAGTCGATAACTATGTTTGCATATACTTTTAAGATCCCCCTGGCTGAGCATCGTCCGATAGGTAGACGTTCGGAGAATCTCTGCAGTTTGTGAACTGTGTTAGCTAGAGAGCTGGGACTTGTGCAGATGTAAAGAGAAGATGTCTCTCTATATTTGAGGTGTTTTTAAATTATAGGTCGTTTTGATTTCTTTTTGGAATCGGAATGCCTCAGTTTTTCCTATGCGCGGTACATCATGGTAGACCTTTTAACAGATCGATGTCTCCCGGTATTTACTATCGAGAAACTAAAACCGCTGATCTCCATCCCTTTCTGTTCAAAAATTATTCAAAAAACATCGGACGACACTATATTTTGAAATGGATAGTAGTTACAAGATAAATTATATATAACTTACAGGTTCAAATTTCGTCAAAGAAAATGTTTTCTACTAATAATAGTCATATTTTGGATACTATGGACACTATTTATTATTTTAATATTGATATCTGTTAATCGTCAAAATTTTTATTTTATTACTGGTGTACGATCTGGTTTGCATCGAATGATAGCATCAGCTCCTGGCCTGTTGGCACACGTTTATCCAATGTCACAAATTTCAATTATTCAAAATTTTTTACTAACAAAATTACAGCTTATAAACAGTACACTAAAACCAATTGATATTTCTTTAAATGAATTTCTGGAAGAAAATCCATCATTAGTACAATATCATTTAGTACCGGATTTAGTTCAACATGTTGGAGTTTACTCATCAGCATCCACAAAAAATCAAGGAAATTTCAAATATTTAAAGGAAAGTGGCACATTTGATGAGAAAAATGCAGCTAACCATTTTCAGTTTGATCCTCGTACCATGTAATATGTTGTGTCTCACTATATACATTAAAATCAAGTTAATCCGGTTTCTATTCGTACTCTTTCACCACTCAATCTATTTATAATTATGTCCAACATAATCAACAGAATTAAAAGCACCAGATGACTTGCGTATGAGAACGAAATACTTGCGATACAAATTTACAAATCGTCTGTTCCATTGAATTCTACTGCTCACAAATTTACGAATGAAGATTAGAAGATTTGTCCATATTACCTGTGATCTACCATATGGAACAAAATGAACTAAAGGGATAGACACAATAGAGGAACCGGATTTTATATCGCGCCCTAGCGCTCATAACTTTGAAGGGGGGCTTCTAAAGCGTCTTTAACAAAAAGCCGATTTTGAGTTGAAATCGCTTGATCGAGAGTTCGCACTGTATACAAAGTTGTTTATTCAGTGTTTGATTGACTTTAGGTAAAAAAATCTATAAAAAGAGGGGGTTTTCTAACGTGGTGTTTGAGTTATGAGTTCAAGAGGGGTCTTGTAACAGGGGAGGGGTTTCTCTGCTGTATCAATTCCTTTAATCGCTGCTATTGAACTCCCATGATAAAAGTTTCTTTAAGAATCCTAGGGAGTAGGGAATGAATAATCAATGTGGATATCCAGGCACAAAAAGACGCGTTTTTTTTCCATTTTTAACGACCTTTTTGTGCTTGGGTAACATGAATTTTGTTGTTATTTTGATGTTCGATTAGTTTTGTTCAATTTCTTTTGATTTTAGTAACCAATTCATAGACTGAATTCTCTCTTAATCATTATTCATTTCAGTGCTCATTTCTATGGTCGCTTTATATTAAAAATAAATTTAAAATAATACTTGAAAATGAAGTTATGATAATACTGAATTTCACAACACTTCTTTTGCGCTGTATCTTATGCTTCATATTGATCAACTTTGTGAGTAGATAGCTTTTTCCGATACAGTAATAGATTTCGTCTTCTGAGAAGTAAATAAAAACAGTGATGAGATGTGATACGCAAAGTTTTCCTTTTTTTCTAAAGAATTAAAAATGTGCCTTATTATAAAAAGATTTTCATATTGTTGTCTTTTATCATTTAACGTGTAATATATCTCAGTTCATCGCATATTCCACAAAAGAACTTAATACGGTTGGTAATGCAAGTTGGTACACTGTTCGGCCAGGGTAAAAAGCAACGGGTTGAACATGATTTGAAACCGTCAACTCTCATCGATAAGTCAATGTTTTATGCCACCTTATTTATCTGTTGTCGGCAAAATGTATTTCTTGTCTTTAGTGCGCATAAGTTTTCGATATTTTTAGTTTTTTTTTAATGAAAATCAAATTTGTAATCAGATTATGAAGCATTTATTGAAAATATTTCTTCTTTCTTTTGTATTTATAATCCTTTCTCGGCGTTACTTCTCTCATTGGATATTTTGAGGCTTTAATGTGCATTCAATAAAATTAAAATATCACATGCGTTATAATAGATTGAACTTGTTACGCCTTATAATGCATGAAAACATAAAGTACTATGAAAATAGTATAAAAAAAGCTTGTCAGCGTTGCTTCTACGAAGTATAAATATGAAAACTTCCTATTGAATTATTAGACTATAACATAGAAGATGTATAAATAGAAGGAAGTTAAATAAGAATAGTAGTACGCGAGAGAAACTTCTATTTAATAGCCTTTTTTTCTGATCATATGGAGAGATATGATAACACTTTTTAAAACTTGTGTCTAGCAACATCAGGTCACTAATGCACTGTCTGTTATAGGCCATTCAGTAGCTGTAAACACCAGATTTATATTGAAATTTGATCAGTCACAAATTCACCCCAAAATTTTACAGCTACTGAAAATTGTGGTTACTGGAATGTGTGTTTACAACTACTGCCACTCGCGGGGGGGGGGGGGGGGGG